TGCCACAGTGTCAAATGCCTTTCTCAAATCCAGAAAGATCCCAATTACCTTTCTAACCTGATCAAGATTACGTACAATTTTCTCGGTAAATCTAAAAACTGCCATTTCTGTACTTGAGTTCTCTCGAAAAGAGATTATTTTTTTCCAGGTATGCTAACATTTTGTGTTTAAAGCATTTTTCCACCAATTTACCAATTGTGCTGGGTTAGTGTAATTAGCCTATAATTATTTGTTGATTTTATGTCTCTCTGCTTATAAATTGGAATAACTATTAATGTTTTTAGGCTTTCCGGAAAAATACAGGTGTCAAAAATTACATTTACTATATGTTTGAGAGGCTTGATAATGGCACTTGAGTAGTTTTTTATTATGAGGGAGCTGATACAATCATCCCCCCTTTTATCCCATTTTTTAAGCTTCGTTAATGTTTAGCAATTTCGAAATCTGTAACATTTCCCAGAAAAAAATGAGTTACCTAAGTGTCGCTTCCTCCCTATTCGTCTCGCTAGTTTTTTCTATATCCTCTGCCAGTTTTCTACCTATATTACTAAAATATGTGTTAAATTCATTAGCTTTTTGTTTATTATCAGTTAGTTCTACATTATCATATTTGGTAAGTGAAAAGGCTCACAGTTTTTTAACTAATGTTCTGTGAGTAAGAGTAAATCTCGCTCATTGCAGTTTTCCGAGAAAACCCTCTTTGATTTTATTACGAACAGATTTGTTGCTTAAGGTAAGTATTGACACAGAGTTTGAAGCTACCCTTCTTGTATTATCATTGAAAGGGGTGATAAAAAAGGTAAACTATCCGATTTATGCTTGATATGTTCTTGGGCACTTCTCACTACCAGTAATTGACAAAACATTATCAACAGTATCTACAGGACTACAGGGGTAATTAGAATCTAAAGGCGAATAGATATCAGTTCGAAGATAAATTTGCCTTAAAGCCGAACGGCTGTCAGAAGGTCAGAACCAATAAAATTGAGAACACATTCTTCATAAATACTGACATTTTTAATAAACCCTTTTTTATTCAAGAAAACACTACATTTAGCATAATCAGTGTGCCTAAAGCTGTCAAACAAATCTAGAAACTCGATATTTGTTGAAAACCTTATGAGATTGTCCACACACATGGACATTCTGTCATTAATTTGCTCAATGTTTTTAAAAGGAAATTGTCCCGCATATTTGACAGGCAGAGAGCATATTAAGTTTGTGAAAAAACATTGATTTGCGAGTGAAGTAATGTCACGATTATTTAAGCCCAGCAAGCACCAACACAAAGTCATCACTGGTTATTTCGGATATGGTTTGATTTAGGCCACTTACCGCTTGCCTAAATAGGGCTTGTGGTTCGGAGAATATCTGTACTTCATAGTCACTTGAGAACGATTTTCTTAAGTGGGGATAAAGGAACTTTCCATATTAGTCAGTGAGAATTATATAGAATCTTTTTAACTTTAAAACTTTTCTTTTCAGCAGCATTAGCGACCTTGTTACCCAGTAACAACTGTTCAGTGGGTGTCCTAGGTTGAGTACATTTGAGTGTGGGTATCATTTTTAAATCGTATACTTCAGTTTGAAGAAGTTTGTTGTCACACTCTAGGATTCTTATTGTTGATATAAGGTTTCTGTTGTCGATTTTTAAATCCTCTAGTTCTATTGTTATTTTTTGTATTTGTTGATCTTTACTCACAGTCTTATCTCAGTATTCTGCTAATAACAAGTCACATGATAACATTTTATCTTTAATTACTTGAATTTCCTTGTCTTTTTCTTGGGCCATGAGTTGGGTTTTTAATTTCTTTTCCTGCATACTCTCTGACAATGTTTGAGAGCCTCTCTTAAGACGTTTTATATAGTTCTTTGCTTTTGAGAGTCAGTTGTTGTTCTGTTATTCACAATTTGATTTAGCAGTTTAAGTATTTCTATTTTTCTGGACAGTACGATTATCTTTGAGTTTATCCATACTTGTTACTAATTTTCATTTTCTGCTATTAACTTTTGTATCTGTTCCTTATAATTGGTTGTTGCTAATGGGTGATTTTTGTTAAGTTGGTATTTATTTGCCACCGATATCTTCATTTCGTCATTTAGTTTATCGATTTCTGATTTTAGTTGTAGTTCATTTTCGATAGCCGGCTGATTGCAGCTTTCTTTAAGTTTGCTCAAGTTGTTAATATGTTCATTTTTCTCATGTAATAGACCGATCTCCTATTACCTGGACTGCGCGCGTCGCTTGTGGGCTGCAGGTGAGCGTCCAATGAGAAGCAAGTTTGTGACAGGCTTGCGTCATGTTCTTATTCAGGGGCCAGTTCAGAATGAATCGTTCCTTCTTTCTTTGTAACGTGTAATTTGACAAAGAGCAAACTAATTCTTTACATATTACTTGAACTCACCGCAGTTTCGTTTAAGGTTATGTTAGATTATACTTGACATATTCCTTTGCAATTTCATTGAGCGATGTTGCCGGATGAAACATTTATCAAAATAAAAGTGCAAACGATGTTCATCCACTTTAAAGCTCTTCTTTTGTCTGATTTAAGGCATTGTAAAACACTTGACACTATATCACTTCTTTAATGTTATAATGTTCGATTTGTATTGTCTACATTTGTTCTGCAACAATACAATCTGGCTACACTGCAGTCTACGAGTTGCGCGCGCATGTCATCTTTTATTGCTTTCTAACTTGTATTTATTACAATTAAGCTCTCTTTTTCTAATCATACGAGATAGGTCTATTCTTGTTGAAATTCATATACAGTGTCCCCCATAATGTTCACTACATATGGGGAAATTTTTTCTTATGTGTGATCGATCCTGCATGTCCGATAACCTAAAAGTACATTTTGACATTTCTCACATGATCACCGTTGTAGCGGCAAATTCGAAAATTTAGATATGGAAACGCGAAAAGTGAGGTTAGATAGCAAAATTTCGGAAAAAGTTGTTTGGAAAAAGTGATTAGAACGATTTTTTAAGGCTGTCTGCGAAATTTGAAGGAAAAATAACAAAAAACAGGAAATTACTTGTTTTTCGTTTATCAACTAATATTATACAGTTTCTATTATTGAAATACATAGTCAAAGTACGTTAATATATTTTTTCTGCGATTGACAAGAAATTTCACCATTTTTGACCGGTTGACAGGTCGCAAAACTCAATATTCTGGTATTTTAATTATGTTTCAATAGTTGCTAAGGAATCAATGAATAACAATACCGGAAACACTTTTCCGGCCTAGGCCGGGAAAGTGATTCTCGTACTGCTGAATAAAAAGACAAACATTTAACAGATATTCAACCGATTGCAGAAAAAATAGTATGTGTATTTCGGTGGAAAAGCACATTCTCGGCCTCGGCTACGCCTCGTCCGTCAATTTACACCGTCGGCCGAGAATGTGTCACTTTTCCACCTAAATACACAATATACTATTACTAAAACACCGTTCTAATAACTTTTTCCAAATAACTTTTTTCGAAATTTTGCCATCTTATCCCACTTTTGACGTTTCCATATCTACATTTTCGAATTTGCCGCTACAATGGTGATCATGTGACCAATGTCAAAATGTACTTTTAGGTTATCGGACATGCAGGATCGATCGCACATATTAAGAAAAAGTTCCATATCCTATAAATAAAAAATTTCCCCCATATGTAGCGAACATTATGGGGGACACTGTAGTCACTGTATAACTGCTTGAAGTTGAGTTATTTCTTCATTCTCTTCGTCTGAGACATTATTAAATCCTTTGGCGCATTTTTCACTGCAATAAACTCTGGTCTTTTATAATTCTAAAATTTTTATTACGCTGGATGCAGCTCTAGTGTTAACTGTGCCCTAGTGTATAAGTTTCTGCCAATGACCTATTATCACAGACAGACGGATTTATGAACAAAAATATGTGTTGGCAACATGTCCGATTCTTTCTATCCTAACCAAATTCCCCCACTACTAAAATGCCACATTTAGTCGTAGGAATATTTATTTTCTCTTTCTAACGCAGGTATAAAGTCCTGCCTTTCAATTACACTTGACAACACAGCACTAGACTAAACTCCGCCTCCCGTTTTTCGTAGTAATACATTCCGTTCTGGCCCAGAGTATCTTGTCCCTATCCTATGCGATGATGATTAGTATATGTTAAAAAAAGACCGATACACAAGATATGTTTGTATTAGTCTGGAATACTTTTCGGATATTATCGTTTTGGTTTTGGGGCGGGACCAATTGAGCCTGGTACATGGCAGGGAACAGCTGTTGAGGCCGGACTTAGATTGGGCGACTTAACCCCACCATGGACTGCCCGCACCCCAAATCCCCCCTGGCCTATAAACATGTTGTCAACACAACAAATAGTATTTTATGAATGGAATACTCTGTCTATCTGTGATAATAGGTCATTGGTTTCTGCAAGTTGAGAGTTGAGAATATTTTTATTTTATCCAAGAGAACCGCTTGGAGAAAAGATTAAAATATTTCCAAAAAGACGTCATAGAAAATTTGGGAAAATAATGGTAAAATGTAATATTTCTCCTATTTGGGACATGGTCCTTAATATTTCAAGAGAAAATGCCAACCAACAGGAAACACATTAACAATGGGTTCCCATTGACATAAAAGCATTAAACATCTAGAAAAAATGGCAGATTTATGATAGCTAAAGCGTTGCTACATTGGAAAATTGAATAATCAAGTGATTATTCTCGTTACTTGACTCCAATCAAGAGCCGGGCACAATCAAAAATTGAACACAAAAAAATCATGTATGTATGTGTATTTCAACAAATTCAGATAAATTCAAAATTATGAAGATAGATTGTGATTGAAAAAAAAGTAAAAATTGATCCAGCTGATTGAATTAAGTTCATAAGCGATTTCCCAAACTGTATAAGACGCAAAATTAGCTAGTCTCTTCTTATAAGTAGATTTGTATAATAGGAACAAAAAGTCCTACCGATTTGCATGTTGTTTTTTTTTTGTGTTACCTGTGACATATCAACCTCTAACCGATCCGGATCAGTGCTACTGCTCGACACCGATTGCGTATCCATATTATCATCTCTCGTATCCGCTTCGCACTCCAAAATTTCAGGCCTTCTAGTCGATAAATCAGCTGGTTCCTGCTCAGCTGAATCATAAGAAAACTCATTGTTTAGAATAATTCTAGGATCCTGTAACGTGGACGTAGGTCGGACTTTTATTACAGGCATGTTTTCTTCACAATCCATACCATCAGATAGTCTGATTTCAATTTCAGGCCTTTCGGAAACTATAACTTGCAACGGTAAAGGTTCCGTATGTAAATCTACTGGTTCGGTTTGTACATCTAATGGTTTTGGTTCTTCTTTTTGTAAACATAAAGGGTTTGTTTGTAAAACTGATTGAGGATTATTGAGGACGATTACAGGTGATGTCCGATGGACAACAGAAGCTTTTAAGTTTTCCTCAATGTCCATCAATGAAGCCTCTGAGGTTTCTTCAACAAATGGTTCGCTTTTAATAACTGCTTGAGGCATAATACTGACAGGAGGTTCGGCTTTTATCTTGTCTGAATTTAGAGAGGACGTTGTAATACTGGCTAGGAGGTCTTCTGAATGTCGCATGTTTTCCTGAAAATAAATAAAAACATAAGAAACTCTCATTTATGTTGTACGTGCCTAATTGGACCAAATATCTTTCTTGTGACCAAAGTGTAGACTAAACAAAACAATTGACCGGTTTATTATTGCTTTTGAGTCATTGGGTATGGGTTTAAATCATTTGCTAAGAAATTATTTCAGTGCAAGTTTGAATATAGTGTGTTTTACACACAACTTTCGCAACTCATTTATCGTTAAAATAAAATATTCGGAGAAGTGTTACCGTGTTGTAATATAGATTAGAATAGTAATAAATAATATTTTTAGGTGAGATAAATAAGAACAATGGTAAATAAAGTTGCTGGGAGGTAGGGTAAACAATATTTGTAAGAGAATTCAATTTTCCTTTTCCAAATAAATTGACTCTATCTCTATTCTAGAACAAACATTATTTAGATATCAGGTGTGATAAAAATGACTAGTATTATTCGATAAGACTGATAAGCCTCCCCAGTAATTACATTTATGTCCATAGTGTGAGGAAACTGATGAGTTGAAGTGTTGTGAAAAAATATTTATGTGTGTGCTCTTGGGAGAAGGATTTTTCAAAAATGGATTATTTATTTGTTATTATAGTGGTAAGTGCATAAGTGTAAAATAGGATTAGAAAAAGTAATTAAATGTGTTGATAGGATAGGATTAACTGGAAAGATATGGACATTTTTTAATAGGTGTGACAGTGAAATTTCTTTCTCCTGATGAGTATTATTAGGCACAGTTAATTTATGCTATCAATAAATTGTGTATTTTATTTAGGGCCGGCTTATTCACCTTCTGATAAATTGTTATATACAATGATTCCATTGGTCGGCAATTTATCCGCTAACCAATAGAATTACAAATCTATAGATTTATCTTACACATAATAACCAGCAAGTTTATCTGAAGATGAATAAACTGGACCTTAATTTACTTAAAATTATCTGCGACATTGATTGTCGAACAAGAACAATATGAACACACTGGCTTTAGAGTGAATAATTAATTTATTTTTATCGCACTATTCGCGAATTTCTGTTCTCAGAGCAGACTTTCTCAGCTAATCCCAGTTACCAGTAATACTTTAAATCTCCATCACTGTGAGAGGCATACCATTACTGTAATAAAAACTCAAAGCATTCAGATGTTCACAAGCTCAAAATCTTAAACTTAAAAGCTCTTCCAGTTCTTATTCCAATTATAAAATTCCAAAATTTTCCTTGTTGAGATTTCGATTTGAAATCTTCATTTTCTTGTTGTGTTTCTATACCAAACAAGTATAAGTAGGTACTCTTAAGTGTAAGTTCACAATTTAATTGGAAAATGTGAAACATTACTGAAATCTCATCATACATACAGTTTCGACTTGTTTTAAACCAAAAACTTGATGTTCTTCATTAATAAAATCAATTAATTCTCTAGTGCCTAGCATTCCTATCTACAACAATATCCTATGAAGAAACATTCGAAAATTCAACTAACCTCTGTGACCGTTGCAAATGCATTACCAGCTCAAGAGAATTCGTGCTGGACTGTCAAAATAAAGGGTTTCGACATATGATAGCCAATTGGCCCGAACACAACGCTACTCTAATAGCAACTTTCAGGTAAAATTTTGAACAATAATGAACAGAATTAATATTGTGAGTTGTATTTTTTTAGCAACAACAATATAAGTCATCTTGAAATACTACCAGACAGTGACTATGTAAGAGACGTGATACTCTCGCGGTGTGGAATTGAGACTTTGGGCAATGGTGCCTTCAAGGCAGTGAAAAACCTCAAATATTTAGATCTGAGTTATAACCTTTTAACTAGTAAGTATACGGGTGATGATAAAGTTCTCAAAAAGAAATAACCCTTGCATGTTGAAGAATATCTTTAACTGGACTGCACATCCCTTATGTGTATTTGGCTTCGTGCCAAAGTCAATAAAATTTTGATATGTGTTAGACCTTGACTTCCTGATAAAAAGTTCTCATGGGCCCGAACCAATCTTATGAATAGTTTTTGAGATATGTACCTACAGAGTTTAAGTCCAAGAAATGTACACATTTATATGCATTCACATCTACCTGTCACCTGACCTGAGCTTGAAGATACCAGTCCATTCTGATTCAGGTTCGGGTGACATTTATACATTTCTTGGACATTTAACTTCCTGTATCTCGAAAACTACTCATAGGATTGGGTTGGGCCAATAAGAACTTTTTATCAGGAAGTCAAGGTATAGGTACCACATATCAAAAATTCATTGAGTTTGGCAGAAAACCAAAAACCCATGAAAGGTATGCGGCAAAAAAATCATTACTTGGGTAGAAGTCATTGGGATTGGGAGAGGATTGAAAACTATCTTTCAAGGCAATATCAAGTTCATTAAGAATTATAAAAAACAGCTTAAGGTCAGCTGCAAACTTCAAGAATTCACAGTTATTTAGTTGCTGTTTTAGGTAATTGACAAATAGGCTGAACAATAAGGGAGAAAAGTTTCCCCCCTGGGGCACACCAGAACTGACCTTCAATGAAAAATTACCAATTTTAACAATGAGCTCTATATCCCTAAAAAAAACAGTTTGCCAATCGCTCAGAAAATCCAAAATTGATCAACCTCTTGAAGGGGGTGTGCGTGAAAACTTAAAGTTCTAGTGTAAAAAAATCTAAGAATAACTGTTCAAACCTCGTTATTCTACGATAAACCATCGCTGAGATATACCGCCTTAAAGTATATGTGACGTCACGAGAGCTTGACACAGGAAAAACATATAAATTCAATGCACTTCCACGCACTTCACTATCTCGTGCGTCGCTTGAGCTATCGTAATGTCATAGGGTGAGATGCGGTACCTTCATAGAGCCATATCTTCGGTATTATTTGTCATAGAAGGGTGCGGTTTTCACTGTTATTGTTAAATTTTTGTTTCTCTTTTTTTTTGAGATGAAGTTGTTTTTTTGGCGCACACCCCCTTTAATAAGCAAATCATGATTCGAATCTTAAGATCTAAATTCGATTTTGAATATTTCCGTTTCCGGAATGGGTTAGTTGTAGAAACAATTCAAAAGCCAAGAATGGTCAACATTTGAATTACAAAAATTTTTAGCTGGTCAATCAATCAAACTGATCCAATCGAGAGCCAGAAATATTCAACAAATTGAATATGGTTTTTACAATGCATATTTTGAATCTTCCCGGCTTTTGTTTGGAGTGATTTGATTAATTGAATTAATTGTGGAAAACTTATAAAACTGAGAGCCAATCGAGTGCTGGGAACATTCAAAAAATGGATTTTCAAAATCATTATTTTCGGCTCTTGATTGGGTTGGTTTAATTCAGAAATCATTATACATATCATCCACCCTGGCATCCCCTCTCCAAGGCATTTGTCAGTGGTAGATGAGTAAATTGGTCAGTACGGACTGATCCCCCCAAATTCATGTTGCTCATCAATAAGGATTTCTTTACACTTCCAGTTTGTTTAAGTACGTATACATCAAGCTATCAAAAACCTTTGGGATAAAAGACTGTATAGAAACATTGCGGTAATTTTTGATATCGTCCTTTCGACCTGATTTAAAGATAGGTGATAGGTTCCGGATTTCTGGAAAAATTGATGTGTTTAAAAACAGGTTGAAGAGTTTACATAAAGGGCGAGATAAAGAATATCTGCATTGTTTCGAAACCACATTTGGTATTCATCAGGCCCTATCATTAACTTATTAGGTAGAGACAGTAATTTATCAAACACCTCAGAACCATGTATGATAGGCCAATCAAGATAATAGTCAATTTTCTTATAATGTTATAGTTGAGATCGGGGAGGAGATTATAGTCTCCCTATTGATTTTCCTGTTCTCCAATATTTTTTTCAAAAATAACGTTGCATTGGTTCTTTGGTTCATGATTGCCAATCGTGGTGAGTATATGGTTTCATCAAATCTTGCATCCCTTTTGATTATCTTAATCTGTTCTCTCTTTTATGTAATGTGGCTTTTATCACAATACCCATAAATTCTTCCTTCACTACAAACTTTTTCTTGAAATTATTTTTCTCGATAATTATCAACCCTACATGTGCATCCAAACACTTATAACTTCAAAAAATAAACTTTCCCAACAAAATATTTGTTGTTTTCTACTGCATTACATCGTAATCTGCATAACGTATTGCTAATCCCATAAGCTTTTGGGAAGGTTTGCGTGTATACAAAAACATTGTGCAATTTTCAGTAATGTCAATGTCCAACTAAATATTTCCAATTCTTTTAAGCATAAAATTTGTTCAGCACATTATTTGAATAATCTTTAAACTTTTAATGAAATTAATCAAATTCTGCGATTGTTTCGCCTCTGAATTTCAGTAACTATCTATGTACACCTAGACAAAAAGGATTTCTTTAAAAATATTGAAGTATCAAATTTCTCCATGTTGACATTTTGTTTATTTCATTTGGGTCCGCCCAAACTGCACAAATCATTGTGAGATTTGAATTGGAGATGTTTGAAAAAAGAGCAGCACAAAAATTCAAAAAAGATAAAATTTTCTCACTAACTATCTCTGAAACTATACTTAACTCCAAGTGAAATAAAATTTTCAGGGTTTGCAATCCTTCAATAGAATAAGATTCTCTGGAAGTTTCAGATTCTTATCTATGAAACAATTGGAAACATGATTTTTCATAGTTTTTTTTCTGTCGCCTTGTAACATTAAACTTTCCGCCATGGATTCTCAATTGCTCGTCCACTTTGTTCTTTTTAGGGGTCAATATTTTGATTAAATCTATATACTACAAGATTCAATTCATATTGTAAAAATAATTGCTCCAAGAATATTCCAGAAGAAATTTGTTTCATGTTTTGACAATTTGTAGAAGATATCGATGCATTTTTGTAGTCTGATAGACCTCATAATGTTGTAAAGAGTCTAAAATTATTTACAAGAATCAGCAGATTACCCCAGAAAAAAAATCTATCATGTGTCCACATTCTCTTAAGAAGAAGAAGAAGTTTCAAAGAACACAATATGTGATGTGATTCTAGATTTTACACATAAACAACCTCAAATTTTGCTACAAAAATTTGAAGAAGGCCATCGCTCTAGATCTAAGAGTCTGTCTCATGTTTGAATAGATTATTTCAATCTAAAAGTCTGTAAGAAGTCTAAAATTGCCTACAAGAATCAGTAGGAGATGTAAGATCACCTCAAAAAGAGTTTCGATCATGTTCCAACAATATGTAGAAGGTTTCAATCTTTTTTTTCAAATCTCAGAAACTCTATGAATTTGTCGAAAGCATATGGAAACTATCTACAAATATCTGTAAAACGTTTCATCATCGCCTTAGAAGGAGTTGTATGTGAAAACTCCAAATTTGTTCACACAAAGGGGGTGTAAGATCACCTCAAAAAAATTGTGAATCGTGTTTCAACAATCTATAGATTTCAATAATTTTTTTCTAGTCTGATAGAATATTGTGATCTGTGGTTTGAGTCTCTAGATTCTACATCTCAAATTTTTTACAGAAATCTGAACTCTAAAAAGAGTGTATCATCTTTTGCCTACAGGAATCAGTAGGAGATGTAACATCACCTCAAAACGAGTTTTCGTGTTTCAACAATCCATTGTAGATCAAATAGATTTTCTCCAGGGTCTAGATTGTTTCTTCAAAAACGTTGAAATTTCACATTTTCCATGTTGAGGTTGAGATTTGTCTTTAACCCTTTCGAGTCTATCGGGACATATGAACCCCAATATCACTCTCAGAAAGTTTGGTGGTTTCATTACCAGAATATTAGAGGTCTTAGAGCAAAGCTTTAATCAGTAAATGTGTATTAGCAGAACGTCAAGCGTTTGAGGTTAAAGATTCATGAGCTCTCACAATCAATAGCTCTCGTAGACTTTGAGGTGATAATTTCAGCTCAGTCATCAAGGAACTACAATTCCTGAAAATTTGAGCTAATTTGAACTTATAGTTTCTGAGATAAAATCGTGTTAAGCAATTTGGGGTGATTTATCAATTTTTCAATTTTTCTGAGTGCCTTTTTTCATAGATTTCGGCTTCAAATCTGAGAATTATTTAGTGTATGGAGTTTGGGTCATGTTAATTGACCATTAGGATACAAAATCTGGACAAAAAAAAAAATTTGAAATTTCATCGTTTGAGAAAGAAGGTAGATTTTGGAAAACTTTGAAAGGTCATAACTTTTTTTCTATTATAGATCGAAAGCTGAAACTTTCACTGAATTTTATCCCAATCGAGGGACTACAATCCCTGAAAATTTCAGCTCATTTGCACTTATAGTTCCTGAGATAAAATTATGTTAAGCAATTTGGGGTGATTTATCAATTTTTCAATTTTTGCAGTCTATGGTTCTCTCTTTTTAGAGATGTAACTTCCAAGTTACCCATCTTCCTTCAAAAACGTTGAAATTTCAAAATCTGTGGTGCCAAATATCAATCCAAAATCTAAGATTATTCACATTTCTCTTATCTACCTAAGTAAGTATATCAAGCAAAAAAAAATCCTAAGGAAAAATAGTCTACTAATAGAACTGAAGTCTGATAAAAATTAAAGGAGCTGTGAGCCAAATTTGTCTGAGTGTCATTTTTGAAAAATTTTCAATGTTTGATAATGCAAAACTGTTGAACTAAATAATACAATTTTGTCCAGCTAAGTTAACACAAAAACCCTACAAAAACCCAAAAACAGAAGAGAGTCAACTACTCATTTTAACACAGAATATTTTTGTTTTTAGCTGAAGAAATTGCCCCGGAAAAGTTCAAAGGCCCCTACAACGACACCGTCTACGAACCCTTACTTATCGAGCACCTAGATTTATCCTACAACCGCATTCACAGTTTGCCTCACAACATTTTTGAGCATCTAACCACATCGCTAACCGAATTGAATTTGGCAGGAAATAAATTGAAAATTTTAGATCACCAAACGCAAGTGGCTTTGTCCGGTTTAACAAACTTAAAGGTCTAATTTTAATAGTTGTTTTATTTTAAATATTCCTAATTAATAGTTATTTCAGGGACTGAATTTGGCCAATAATGACCTTACGGAATTGGTAGGCGACGCAGTTAAAAATTTGCAAAAGTTAAGGACATTGAATTTAGCAATGAACAAATTGGATTTTGTGCCTGAAACTTTGACACTGTTAAGTGATTCATTGCAAGTGCTTTATTTGGACAACAATCTTATTTACGAGCTTACAGATGAATCATTTTTGGGTAACAAAAATCCAAAGATTTTACAAATTTAAACAAATATATTTTAGGAGTCAAAGGCATTAGAATGCTGTCTCTGACAAACTTAGCTAGATTACAATATGTGAACGCTAATGCATTTTCGCCCCTCGAAAATTTGAAAATTCTATTTTTATCTGATAATCCAAGTTTAACTACCATCGACAGAGACGCTTTCAGGGAAAATCAAGTCCTAGAAGAAGTGAGTACATATAGATAAAACCAACTAAGAAGCCAACGCGTGATCTTTTGTCTCACTAGAGAAAAGGAAATTTGCCTTCTTCATCAGTGATGACGTCAGGGGGTTCTTCTTAGTTGGTTCCAACTATAGTTTTGCATTTAATCTAATATAATATTTTAGCTTTATCTTCACAACAACTCACTCAAAGACTTGCATTACAACCTCACCAATTGGCCCACACTCAGAGTGTTCAGCCTCAACGACAATGATTTAATATGTGACTGTGACTTATACAATATTTCACAACATTTGAGGCCCCAAATCAAACAAAACGGCGATGGGCCTTATTGTATAAATCCTATGACCGATGCCAGTATGATGATTTATAGATTAACTGAGGAAGCTTGCGACTATGAGGTAATAATAGTATAGTATGAGTCACGCGAATTAATGTTTTTCCTTTGCAGGCTGAATATAATAATTCCTCCCACGTCATTAATAAGCATTTTCGTGTACTAAAGTTGGCGTTTCTCACAATTTCGGCTGTTTTTATTTTTACAGGCCTTATCGCTGTAACTATTGCGTTTCTAAGGTATAGAAGATACAAGATGAACCGAAACTATCCGTTCACTACTCAAGTTACTTATAATCCTTTAAGGAGTTCGATTATTAGTAATTGAGTTTAATGAGGCTATGAATTTTTCAAAGTGTTTGAATTTATATTCCTCTACTCTGTGATTGTTTTCCTAAATAAGGTTAATATTAAATTTTATAAGTAAAATTTGTCGGGTTTTCTTGGATTTCAGTCCTGACAAAAACTAACTTGCAAGGGATTAGGGATTTTTGTTTTGAAAACTTCCCAATGTTTGTGAAATGCCGAATTTCCCTTAAAAAAACTTGAATTTTTGGCTTCAAATATTATGATCTACAGTGAAAAAATTAATTTGAAGGATACATAGAGGAAGTGGCAGTTATATTTTTATCTCAGAAATCATTTGGAATAAATTTTTTACACACTTCAAGCATTAAAATATACAAGTACTTAATGCCACTTTACTTGAAGTTCAAGGTTTTTACTTGAAATGAATTACTTTATGAAATTCAAGTTTATTTGATAATCCAAGTATAATTTCAAAAAACTTGTACTTGTACTTCAAGTGAATCTATCAAATATATGCACTTCATACTTGTACTTCAAGTATTATTTTTGTTATGTACTTGTGCCGGCTCTGAGCTCAAAGGTTATTTTACAAGAATTTCATGATTTTCCCAGGTATCAACTTGTTTTGTAAAATGACTTTCAACTTGTTTTGTATAATGAAAAAATTGTGATTAATAAATCCTGAAAGTTTCAAGTTGCTGTTATGACTCAAAGTATTTTTCAAGAATTTTATTATTTTCTCAAATATCAATGGATAAAAAAATCCATAACTTTGGTTGTGAGTTTCCTATCAACTTCCAACTTGTTTTGTAACATGGAAAAACTCTAATTAATAAATCCTGAAAGTTTCAAGTTGCTTAGATGGCTGAAACTATTTTTCAGGAACCTTCAAAGGTGATTTTACAGGAATTTTATGATTTTCCCAGGTATCAATGAGTAAGAAAAATCATCACTTTGGTTGTGAGTCTCCTATCGACTTCCAACTTGTTTTGTTTCATGAAAAAACTGTGAATAATAAATCCTGAAAGTTTCAAATTGCTATGATGGCTCAAAGTATTTTTCAGGAATTTTAGGATTTCTTCAATAATGGAGCACACCAATATAAAATTTCAAGCTAATGCATTCAAGATAATATAGGTATTTTAAAAAAATCACAAAAATTACTCACCTCTTTGTCGCCCTTTAGCTGCTTCGTATACAAAATAAAATCCTTCAATACTTTTTCGCTTTTGATAGCTGCTTCTTTAAATTTGGACATTAACGCTAGCTGCTTCATGCATTCAAGACAGATAATTTTTGGAAGTTCATCTTCTTCATTTACCTAAAAGAAAATATAGTGTAATAATATAGGTAGATTTGTTCTCACATCACATCATAGTGTATTAAAATTATTCAGATTAAATGGATTTAATGAAGGAAAAGCGAAAATATTTAAAAAACAAATTTGTAATATTAGATTTAATGCGCTGCATTACTCCATGTGAGTAAGGCGATTGCAAATTTAATTTAATGAATCTGGTGCGTGGGAATGCGCGCAGTATTCATTTTAATCTAAAAGAGAAATGACGAAAAATCCCATTCACTGCTTTGCTTTAACAGATATGATATTGAGGATGTAAGCTTTATATTTTAATTATCGGACTGTCTAGGACTCCACAAGTATAGCATTCATGAGAGTCAAGCTTGAAAATTATTGCCCTGTAGCCTCGTTTTTTCTTCGTTCTGAGTTTCACGTTTTCCAAGATGAATTTTTCTCAGCTTCAACACTAGATTGATCAGAAAATTTCAACTCTTATAGTGCTATACAGATAGAATTGTCACACAAACACTCTAGATCAACTTGACCCCTAAAATGGTCAGAAACCAGACTTTCGTACTCCTCTAGTTTAATTTCGGCTTTAGAAGACCTCAAGAGAAATTTTCATGCTATTTTTATTGAAAATTCAACTTTATGGGAGCCAGGATTGGGATTTCCAGACTTGTTTTAGGTCTAGAATCTTCAAAAAATAGAGTTTTATAAATTCCCTAGTTCAAATTTGGCTTTACGAGAGCCTGCAATAAGATTTTCACGCTTTTAAGTTGGATTAACTTCAGTTTCACTTCATCTCTAGACAAATATAAATTGATGGAACTGAGTTATTAATTATCGCTACTGTATTATGGTTTGTCCATAAACGATAGATTTTTCGCCAAAAAAGGGCACTTGGCACGCTGAAGTTAATAAATTAACTTGGAGTTGAAAATCAACTGCCATCAAACCCAAACTATTCATTTGGCAATTATAGGTATTTATATTGTGTTATTTTTGGGAATATTTTCAATGTTTCAACTCTCAAAGACTTTGGTCCAACCTGTATTTCTCACCAGTCTGAAGAAAAAAAAAACAGACAGCCTGTATAATCATAGGTCTTATAAAAATCATACATTAAAGGAGATTTTTAATTTATTATACCGCGATTAATACTTAGTCACAGTCTCAGCATGGAATAATCCACTAAAAATAAACCTGAAATTGATTGCATATTCCGTAGGAAGGGGTTTTATCTCATTTACTTATCATTAGAAACGTTTACTGTATGTTTATTTTTAACCGTTTTAGGTATCCAATTCATAGACATTAGACTTGCTAGAGCAGACATCGTGTTGATTGGATTCTGTAAAATTACCAAGGCCTCTCTCTATGAAATTTAATAGTCTCACATATGATCTGAATGTTAATAAGGCGGCTCCCATTTTTGCATTACTCTTGCGGAGTATAATCAATCGTTTACATGAAAAGTTTGTGACTCATGTTGTGTTGTCAGCAGGTTGGATCATATATCACTTTTGAATTTATGTTGATTCACGTGTTATAATGTAATTCTAGATCTGCCTGGCTGAATATAATTGTTAACAGGAAAAATTATTTTTCTTGCTTTATGCAAATAGACCTTTTACAATATATTTTTTATTTGAATCAGCACAAAGCAAAAATTAACTGTTACCGGTAAAACGGAAACTCATATGCAATCCCGGAGTTCACAGATTTTTTTGAAAAAGGTTAAATAATAATAATAATAATAATAATAATAATAAAGCCTTTATTCATAATTAAGATCATTTTTTATTGAAATTACTAATGGCCGTTTCCACCAACTATTTTAGGGGAGCCTTACTAAGAAGTATTCTTTAAAATGACAGTCTTCCATGGAAAAATGTCAGTTTAAGGCTCCCCTGAAATAGTTGATGGAAATGTCCATAAGTTTAATGGATTGAATTGGAGAAATAAAATGCAAGGTTTTCTTTTCGTTCTACTTGATACAAGATACAACCAATATAAACTGAAGAAACCCAAAGAAAAACACAAAATTCTCTTTAAAATTATCAAAAAGGACCAACAAAAGTGTAGCTTATCATTGAATATAATGATTGAATTGCTGGAAAAAGAAGTTGCTGATAGAAATGTTGTATAACTCCAAAATTTCCTATATTTAGTTTCATATTCACAAAGGGCTCAATTTTCCCATTCCAATAATAAATAACTTGCCTATGTTTGATTGGGCCATCTTTCATAAACTGTCAAAAAAACTACTATCAGGAAAAACATTTTTTTTATGAACTAGCATATAGTGACCCAACCATCCTTTACTTTTACAGGTAGAACTGCCCTACAATATCCTGAAAAAAATTCAGGTAAAGTTCATCTCTCATATTTACACCTTTTTTCTACCTGTGAAGGTACAAGCTTCAGGTGGAGTGTTAATATATGGCGAAACGGAAATACTCTGTAAATATAATATAGACAAATCGGATTAGTAGAACTTTCTCATGCTGTACTTATGGCTCAGAATTCAAGGAGGTCTTTTGAGTTCTTGAACTCCGCAAGAAGCAATTTCTCAAAAACAATCGTTAATTGAGGTTCCTTTAGAGTCTAAAGGCCTAAAGTTTAGACTGAAGGAATCCTTGGAACTCTTGGAAGTTTAGAATTGACACGAGAAACTTGGTAAATAGTAACAAATGTCAATTCTAAACTAATGACCCCAAGGCAGTTAAGGAACGACTATACATTTAGTTCTTAATCAACCCTCAGAAGTAAATAATAAACTGTATTATTGAATGTAGTTGTACAAAAATAACTGTCACTGAGAAGTCTCGGAAGAAGTTTAATAAAAAATTCATAAAAAAAGATTTTTTTTACGATTGGTGATTGGTGAATTAAGAACTTCAGCAGTTGAAGAGGAAAAGACAGCAGCTGTGTATTCCTTATGTAACTCGTTGGAATTGCTTTCTGCTGCTTTACACAGGACTAATTAAAGGGTGAATAGTCTCATTAACAGAACATTTAAACGATTAAAGATGCTTTTATCCAAATTTTTATCTCACATTTCAACTTTAACAGCTTTAGAAGTTTAACTAGGAGATTTAATGAGGTTGTGTATTATTATAAGCATAGAGGTGTTATCGTTCAATACTTTAATACTAATTAAAATTTTTAATGTAATTTTAGTCTAGATTAGTTATTGCTTATCTGTCTTCGGGGGTGGCAAGTGGTAGGTGTTAGGTATGCAAGAAAATTAAATTTTCAATATTTTCAAAAGGCCATATTTTGAAAACCGAAGATGCTAACAAACATTTGAATTGTAGGACTCAATAAATTAGGGCTACAAAGAAGATTATCTGGTGTACCCAGCTTGTAGATAATAGACTTTGAAGGTTTTTTTAAAATTTACCACAAAGTTTCATTATTGGGGTCCAATACATATTTCAGAAACTGCAGTTTTAGCCAAATTTTTAGAATCTATCGTCAGAAACAAAAAATTATTGTCAGAAATTTGAAATTTTACGTACTTTCAACTTTTTTCAAATAGAATGCCCTATATTTGATTCTATATTCTTGAAGAGAACAATATCCCGATTCCAAAAATATATAGTTTATCTATATTTGGTTGAGCCGTCTTCAACATATTTGGCTCCAAAAATTGTAAAAATACTATTCTACTATGACTGATTTCGTTATCTATTCTACCTGTAAAGGTAAAAACTGCAGGTGAAATTCAAGGCACTGATAGTATTTTTATAATTTTTAGAGCCAAATATCTTGGAGACGCCTCAACCAAATATAGACAAACTATATATTTTTCGAATCGGAAAATTGTGCTCTTCAAGAATATAGAATCAAATATAGAGCATTCCATTTGAAAAAAGTTGAAAGTACGCAAAATTTCAAATTTTTGACACGAAGTTTTTGTTTTTGACGATGGATTCTGAAAATTTAGCTAATCATCTACGTGTATAGGTGAAAGCTGCAGGTGGGGGTAAAAATATAGTGAATAACCCTGTACATTTCTTCGACATTAAACTACCTGTATCTCAAAAACTAGTCATAGGATTAAAGGTCTGTTCCCACAGGAGTCTCTGACAGTTTGCAAACTGTCAGTAAGCATCGCCCATACATGTTTTCAATGCTGTCGTTACAAGATAAATCTGTAACTCAGTTGAGCGATTGTTACTGACAGCTGGCAAACTATCAGAGACTCCTGTGGGAACAGACCTTAAGTTGTGCTCATGGTAGTAATTGATCAGAAAGGTGACATCTATAACATATTAAAATTTGATTAAATTTGACCGCGGTCAGAAATCCCATAAGAAGTGTGCTGGGTTCTTGACTATCTTTTGCATCAAAATTTTAACAAACCCAAAATTTTTGATAAATATCCTGGCACCCAAGATCATCAAGATCATAGTATTCCTATATGTAATTACAAGTGTTCTTTTTATGGATGGAAAGTGGAAAACAAAAAGTGATATACTTATTTCCATCCAGTAAAGTTAATTAGCATTGTTCTCAAGACTGTACCTATATCCACTTAATTATCGGTAAAGGTACACTAGAAATTTAAGTTGATTTTTTTATACAGGTGCATAAGATAACACGTAATACAAAGAAATTTGATTTTCAACATTTGTAAAGCTATATTTCATAAACCGGAGGAGCTATAAAGTATTAAATTCACCCAATTTCAAAATTGTTGAGTTCAGGCAATGACATATTCTAAGGTTGAAAACGGGTGGAAAAATGCCAAAGTAATGTCATATGAAGCTTTGAACGTTGAAAACTTGTCGAAAAATGCCAAAAATATGTCTTTCTTGGTTATGAATTAAATTAATGTAGGTACCAGCAGATTCTGGAGATTTTTCTTGTACTACTTTTTTTTATCGGTCCTGTATCTCAGAAACTAATCATAGGATCTTTTTGGGCCTACGAAAACTTACGTTCAGGAGGTCGAGAAGCATAACATATTTCAATTTCATGACAATCGTGAAATTTATTTTACCTACGAG